CTGGATGGCAGACAGGCTGCCTTCTGTGGGCGTACAGAACAGAATTAAAAACATTCCCCATTGGGATAAACAGACCATACTTCAATAGTCACAGCCTCTTTTGCTGCCTGTAAGTGATGTCCTTCCATTAAGTTGCTACGCAAAGCAGTCACACAGAAGTCTCTACAAAGCTATATGAGACCTCAGTGCACCAACAAATATTGGTCTGCAAATCCAGCCCTTTGCCAGGGCTTCCTACAGAGGATAGAGCAGGTGTTTAAGAGGTTTAAGGTGTTTCCTTCTTACATTGTGAATGAAAAATAATGTCCCATTCTAGAATCTCATAGAAAGGGAAATTTCAATTCACTGTAAATTTCTGCCACCTTTGGGGCAAGGCAATCTTTCCACTCTTTGAAAGATTGTGGAAAAAACCTCATTCAAGGCTGAGTCAATGTTACCTATGTGTTCAAATACAAACTAATGTTCAAGAATAGCTAATTCAAGTCTAATTGGATGTTTTCAGCTTTCTTTCTTTCTCTGCCCTCAGTAAGCAGCAGTTTCCAGGATAAACCATATTCTGTTCCAGGTTTATAGTTAAAAATAAGGTAAGTTTTCATTACATGAAAAACTCTTCTCACTTCTTTGTTCACTTAAGTACAAGAAGGGAGAAAAATGGCTTCCTGAGTCTTAGTTTCGGGCTAGTAAGGAATTCACCCCACATACCACATAATTTCCTGATGGCCATACCTGACTTTCAGGGGAGATCCTTCGCAAATATAAAAACTGTCCCACAGAATCTCAAAGTATAGGCACAAGCTTAAATATTCACTCTCTTCCTTTCTCTCCCCCTCTTTAACAACATTCCCTAACTGCTTTACAATAAGAAAATCAGAAGAAAATTAGTTTTTGCAGAACATATACATAACGGATGACTACTTGATACCTATTTGGCGTTTGCATTTTTGGAGCTTTGTTCGTGCTTGCTTCATATTTTTATGTACTTCTGCCACCTGCTGCACCATTTTTTCCTTCTCCTTCATGTCCTGCAGGTGTCTTTCCATACACTGATGACTCATTTCTGCTTTCTGAGCTCCAGACAAAATTACCAGTTAATAAAGATTAACACAATACACAGATTCTCCTTTTTATTCAACAAAACAAAATAACATAGGAAAGGAAAAAGAGAGGTCACTTACCTGCAACTCTGGTTGAGGAACATGTACATTTGCAAAAAGATTCACTAATTTGAGAATGGAAGGCTAATGGAGAGGGAAATAGTGACATAAAGAAGGATAGCATACATGGAAGAACTCAGCTATCATGATACTCAATTGGAAATTCACATCTGTCAGAAATGTACCATCTCAGGAATTTATCTTTTGTTTTGTTGACAACTTCAGCTTCCAGATGGTAGAAGAATTGTCAAAGGGACTGACTAGCTTGGATTTAGTCCTCAGAACAGTAAAGAAGTGATGAATGAGGTGGAAAAAGAGAGAGATTACTTACCTGTAACTCTGGTTCTTCCAGTGGTCATCTGTGAATTCACACTAATGGGTTAAGTCTGCACCTGCACAGAGGTCTCAGAATATTCTAGAGCTGAAAAAGTTTGCTAGGACCGCCTCCCCCTCCCCCCGCAGTCCACGTGGTCTGCAACTGTCCTAGCAATTACCTCAATTCCCCAATGCCACTGCTGTTCAAAGAGACAGACAGACGGACAGAGGGGAGGATGGGCAGGAAATGTGAATTCACAGACGACCACTCAAAGAACCAGAGTTACAGGTAAGTAACCTCTATTTCTTCTTTGTGGTCTCTGTGAATCAGTGACTAACAAGCTTACCTTACAGATGGAGGGACATCATGGCAAGGCTGAAGAAAGAACAGCATGTCCAAAACTTGCATCCGCCTTAGCACACATGTCTAGATGATAATGGGATGCAAAGGTAGATGGAGTTGACCAGGTGGCAGCCCTGCAGATATCCTGGACTGGAACACCTCTGAGGAAGGCCGTAGATGTTGTTAACTCCCTGGTGGAATGAGCCTTGATATTATCTGGAATAGGCTTCCTGGCAAGTTGGTAAGATAAACAAATAGTCTGCACAATCCATCTTGATATGGTTTGCGGAGAAATTTGCACTCTTCTGTGAGGCAGGTGAGGAGAGATAAATAAGTGCTTGGACTTCCCAAAGGAAGCAGTCCTTTTAATACAGAAAGCAAGCACATGCCTCACATCCAAAGGTGGAGAGATCTCTTAACACCTGTGGTCGGTTCAGGAAAGAAACTAGGCAGGATGATCAGTTGATGAACATGAAAGTCAGTAGCTACTTTAGGAAGGAAGGAAACGTCCGGATAAAGGTTGACCTTATCAGAGTGGAATTGTAGAAATGGAGGATCAACACGGAGAGCTGCCAACTCTGATGCTCTATCGGCAGAGGTGATAGCTATCAGAAAGAGGACCTTAAATGACAGTAGGTGCTCTGTTGTGTTGGTGAGAGGTTCAAATGGAGGAAAAGATAGATGCCGCAGTACAGTATGTAGTGACCATTGAGGCGTAGGGGATGGTCTTGGAGGGTTAAGGTGGGCAACCCCTCGAAAGAATCTCTTCAACGTAAGATGCCAAAATAATAATGTCGCCTCTGAGTCTTGGAGTTGGTGTGCCACGATAGCTGACATATATACCTTCAGTGTGGATAAGGATAATTGACGATCAAATAAATGAGGAAGAGCAATACCGCTTTGAGAGTAGTTGGTGCTGTTGGAAGACCATGCTCCTTCGCAAACTTCTGAAAGGCCAACCGTTTGCAGGAATAGAGATGGTTAGTAGCGGGTTTCCTGGAATGAGAGAGGATAGTGTTTATCAAGGTATGATTCTCCAGGCTGTCAGATGTAGTGACTGGGAGGTCAGGATGGAAGGTTTGCCCTCGGTGTTGTGTGAGGAGGTGAGGAAGACAAGGTAGACACATTGATTGGGACATCATCGAGGTCAACATTGTGAACCACGGTTGTCTCGGCCAGTACAGGGCAATCAGGATTGCATTATTTTGGTCCTCTCTTGATTTGACAATAGTTCGGAGGAGGAGTGGTTTTGGAGAAAAGAGGAAGAGGAGGTGGGTGGTCCAAGGTAACATGAGGGTGTCCCCTAGAGATCCCAGGCCGATTCCTGCCCTTGAAAAATATCTGGTGCACTTTCTGTTCGTTTCCGTAATGAACGCATCTATATCGCCAATTTGTAGAAAAACGTCCTGATCTAGAGACCACTCGTGCATCTGGGAGGATCATCTGCTCAGATGGTCTGCCCAAGTATTATCCTGTGTAGCAATGTGTACTGCCATAGAAAAAATGTGATGGTCCAGGCACCACTCCCAGAACTGGACAGCAAGATAGAGGAGTGAGAGTGAATTTGTACGTCCCTGTTTGTTCACATAATATAGCGCTGTAGTGTTGTCCGTGGTCACTCGGACTGCAGTGCCAGCAATGATTGGTAAGAAAGCACGGAATGACTTGAAAACGGCTAATAACTCCAGATTGTTGATATGGAAACGTCTTTCTTGTAGTGACCTTGTCGCATGAATGTGAAGGTCCCATTTCAGCCTGTTTCCACCAGGTGGGCAATGATTATACATCTGTCAAACTCTGAGTCTTTGGTGCAGAATTTTCCACCTCACAAGAGGGCATCAAAGAGTAAGCATATCTCTCCGGATCAACACCATTCCTCCTGTTGAGAGGTTGTTCTATTGTCCCGTTCATCTCAATGTCAAATCAAATCGGGCTATGAAGACCCCATATATGTTGAGGTCGAATAAAAGCGGAATCGTCATTGACGTCGAGATGACGAATATGTGATCAATCCCTACCACGACATTGAAGGCTATAGGAAATGTAAGAGGCTGTGATATGTATATGCCTCATCCTCTTCCATTAGGTACCAAGCCTATAGTGAACAGATTTTTAGTCTCGTGTGCTGGATGACTGAAGTAGTAGAAGTCATGAGGCCTAGAAGCCGTTGTGCTTGGTGGGCAGTCACATATGCCTACGCTCAAAAATGATCCACCAGGAGGTGTATTTTGAGTGCAGGATTCCAGGGAAGGAATGCTCTGGCATGATGAGAATTGGGCACTGCAGCTATGTAGTCTACCCTTTGAGAGGGAGTAAGTATTGATTTATTGTGATTTACCTTGAGGCCAGGGTTGGATAGAAGACAAAGTAAGTGCAATGTCCTTGAATACCTGGGCTTGGGAGTGAGCTACCAACCACCAATCATCAATGTAGGGGAACACCGAGATTCCGAGTGTGCGAAGATGTGCTGCTACGGGAGCCATGCACTTCATGAACACCTTGGGAGCTGTGGACAAGTTGAATAGTAGGGCATTGAATTGGTACGTAGCACATCCGAGTGAGAAGCATAGAAATTTGTGATGAT